TCTATATTTGTAATTGAAACAATACTTTTTATTCGACTCACGTCATTCTTTATTATTCTCTGAACATCATCACAGTTTTTATGATTATTCATAATATTCATTGCATTCTACAATCAATAAATAAATTCCCCATTTTTAAATAGGAACTGTCGAATAATCCGATATTACTTCTTTTCAAAATAAACTTCGATTCGCTATAACAAAAAATTTCATTACAATGTTTATTGAAAAATAGTATTTCTTTTAATTGTTTATTTCGGCTGAATCATTACTGATTTTGTTTATCATCATCCACGTTTGATTAAACAGATGTCGATTCAAGAGAAGATAACAATTCCTAAAATTCTTTTAATCGATAAAAAAAAATTGAATTTCACCCAGAAAATAAACAAATGTCAATTTAACTCACGTCAATCTTCTCCGTCCCATAAGTATCACAACACTTTTTGTAATTATCCATAATACCAAATAGAAAGTTATTCTTATAATATTATCACAATACAAAAGGTCAAAAACTATTTTCCGTTGCACATGTCCGTTCACCGGATGAAGCGATTTATGAAAAGAGTTCCTAACATTTGGAGATGGAATTGTTCAGTAGAATGTAGAGTCTGATGAACAAGAGCTATTTTTTTTATTGTGAGAAGAGACCGTTGAAACAAACCGACAATTTAAAATGACAGTAACGATAGGAACTGTCGCGTTAAACCTCACTCATCGCACTGGTTAATACCATCAAATGGTTTATCGTTGTCGACCCCTGAGTTCCTTCTGTTATCTAACCCTCTTGCATATTCCAATATCTTTATCTGTATTGGGCTGCCGTTAACTGACGATTTTTTTTATCGGTTAATTGTGTCGGGCGAAAATATCATGATGCCAATCAGATGTATGATTTGATTTTAATGAACCACCAGGAAATGACTTTATGAACTGAACCTTTTCGAATTTATGGTTGGGATTTTAATGAGTCAGCCGTTGCGAATTGATAAAGATAATTGCACAATGGAGAATTTGATTGGTATTTTCGT